CTGGCCACGCCCTACTCCACGGAGACTCCACGGGACCCCTCCGACCTCTCCGATGGGTGTCCTGCAGGCCTCGGTGCCCGGAAGTGGGTTTGTGCCCCCTTCCCCCCACGCCTCCCTGGACAGCAGCTCTCCTCCCGCCCTCCCTTCGCCACCTCCCCCTGCTCCCCCGATCCTGCTCTCAGCCTGGGGTTGGTCCCCTGCCTCCATGCAGAGGGTCAGTCCCCCTCCTGACGTGTTGCCCTCTGGGCTCTGCCCGTGCACTGGCCGCCCACATTCAGCCCCGTGGCAGCCACACCAGAGACCTGCCCACCTGGTCCCCCCGTCCGTGCGCCACACTCCACCCGCCCATCTGGCCACCCCATTTGCTGTGTGTGTCCCGGCCCTCTCCTCCTACCTCCCACTTCCTGCCTGCCCGCAGCGCAAGGGCTGTGACAGGAACGGACTGTGTCTTCGTGTCCCCCCAAATTCATCCATCAGAGCCCCAGAGGGATGGTGTGAGGTCCCGGAGCCTTGGGACGGGTGTGGCGTTCGCTGGGTGCTCATAATGAGGTCAGTGTCCATATAAGAAGAGGAAGACACCAGAGCCCTCTCCCTGACACTTGACATAGTGAGAAGGCAGCCATCTGCAAACCAGGAAGGGGGGCCTCCCCGGAAACCGCCGGGTCGGCGCGCTGAGCTGTGAGAATCAATCTCCATCGCGGGCGCCCGTGCGGTGCGGTCTGTGGTGCTCTGTCAGGGAGCCCGAGCTGAGGCAGTGGCCTCCATACCTTCCCCTGTGAACTTGTCGCCCCTCCATCCCCCACCTGACCCGCACCCCGCACGCCCACTCCCCAGATGTTGCCGCTGGACTCACTGAGGACCAGCAGGGTCTTAGAGGTCCGGCCGGCCCGGCCCAGGTGCACGTAGACTACGCCGTAGCTGTAGTCGGTGGACAGCACGTGGAAGCCCTCTACCCCCTTCACTGGACCGGAAGAGAAGCGTGGGGCCGCCTGATCAGGCCTGCACAGCAGGGGCCACTGGGAAGGGTCAGGAGTCCCTCCCACACACCCAACCCCCTTCCAGGCCTAGGCCGCGGGCACTTGCATGCTTGTGGGCTCTGGGACCGTGGCCTGCCTGCCCATCCTGGGGCCCGCTGTCCCTGCCATCCACCCAGCCCTGGGACAGAGGAGTGGCATCTCCCGGGCCTGTGGCCGTGAAGCCGGGTCACGCCCACCCCCAGGACTTTCTCTCCAGGCCCCGGGCCTTCATCTGCACAAGGATTCGTGAACATCACCTTTTTCCTATCTTTCCGCAGAATTAATGTGTGTGACTGGCACCCCTGTGACCTAGGGGGGGCAAGGCGGGAGCCCTTTGTTGCCTCTAGTTTTCTCGAATTTTCCAGGTTGGAGAAGGGCCAGACCCACAGCTTAAGGGAAACCCTTGGAACTCCCACTCTCTGCCGAGTGCTCCCGTGTACATGGTGGCCTCTCCCAAAATCAGGCCTTGAATTTTAGGGGCAGGAAGGGTTTCGGGGCCACAGAGATGTTCTGTTAGATGTGCAGACGATCATGGGTCTGGCTTCCCGCACCCCTGGCTCCCTTTCCCCTCTTGACGGGGAGATGTCTGGGCTGTTTGTGGTCAGGGCTCCGTGAAGATTGTTCTGGTCCCCCACCCTGGTCCACTCACCAGCTGAAGGCAAGGACCACGTTCGGCTGGCCGGCTTTGTGGACCTCCACCATCGATGCCCCCAGCTTCCTCCTGTCTCTGCCTGGCAAGAATCTCTGGCCCTCAGAGGCGACAGCCAGAATGTACCAGAACCCTGAAAACTGTGGAGAGCGTGCTGGCGAAGCTGCCTGTGCCAGACTCTCAGCCGGGCCCCCAGGAACCCACCGGACACTGACACTGGCCTGAGGCCCGGCCCGGGTCCAGCACCAACAGGCTGGCACAGCCCCTGCGCAGGGCCCCGGCTGCCCCTCTGGGCCTTGGTGGGCAGGTGCCAGGCGGGCTGGGGCCCCGAGGGCTGGGCCGACGTTACCGTGTGCTGGAATTCCCTTCCTATGCAAGGCCTCCCCCTTCCTTCCACCTCGGCCCTCGGCCCCATCCCTCTGACTTTCTGCCACAAACCCACATTCCCGGGCAGTCAGTGCCCACGGCCACCCCCGCTAGAACCTTCCACCTGCCAACCATCTCGTTGTTCCGGAACACGCTCTGCTCGTTCTGCCTCTGCCCACCTAGCATCTCTGGTGCCCTGAGGCTCCACCTGCCTAGGGCTCTCAGCCCTCCCGCTTCTTGTGTTGCCACCAGCTCCTCAGGGAGAGGCCAGGGACTGAAACGCTTTCTGCCCTCGGGGAACTGCCCCCTGTTCCAGGTTGGCCCTTTGGAGATTTTCAGGGAGTGGTCTTCCAGCCACCACACACACTGCATCCCTGGCCCCCGTCGGCCTGCCTGTCTGGCTTGGGGACCGCAGGTGTGTGGCTCACCTTGTTCCAGTTGAGGTTGTGGCACTCCCTGGGTAGCTGTACCTGTGGCCGGGACCCCATAGCCAGCATAAGCGCCAAGACCAGCACACACGTCAGCCACCCTGGTCCCATTGTCACCCTCCTTCCTCGGCCACCGGGGCACTGAGTTTAAGTCTCCCCACCCACCTGACCCTGCCGTGGCCGTCCAGCCAACCCGGAGCCTTGAGCCAGCCTGGGGTGGGCCAATGGGGAGGGAGAGGGGCTTTGGGACACAGGCGGGCGGCCCAGGGGCTCGGCCTGGCGGGTGCTGCCTGAATGTGAAGGCCATCGTGTTCCCCTGTGAGACCCCTGGGCCTTCCATCCTAGCCCCCCGGAAGAGAGGCAAGCAGCCGGTAGGCGTCCCTGTGAGTCACTTCATAGGGATATTTGCACGTGAGAAGCAGGACCATGGTGAAGACGGGGCTCAGATGGCAACAGCATGGCACCAGGGCTCTCTGTCCCGAGCAGGTGCTGACGGACAGGGCTGCTGGATGTGTGTGAGCTGCCACCCGTAGCCTGCACGCACCGCCCCTCTCCGTGAGTGATGGGCAGCCCCCAGCCCAGCTTCCGCCATGACGTCAGGCACGGCCCCACCAGACCACAGGAGGACCCACAGGCTCGGGCCCTCTGGAATCCTGCCCCCTGCCCTGGCCCCAAGCCCCAGGCCTGGGAAAGCCACACTCTTGTGCCCTGGACACGGTGGCACCGCAGCCACGCCCCCTGGTGGGCACCTACGCCCAGTGCGTCAGCCCGCACCTGTCCAGACCCCCGAGGGTCTGCTCTAACTCAGACAGACAGTCCTCCCTCCAGCCCAGGGACTGTGGTGACCTCTGCTTGAGGAGCAGCTGCCCCCATCCCAGCCCCCACTCCGGAGCCAAGACCCATGGCCACGTGTCCCCCATCCAGACCTGGTTCTGTGCTGTATGGTCCAGCCCTCGGTGAGCCCCACACCCACCTCCTCCCCCTGCCCTGATGAGAGCCCCAAGAGGGCAGCGCCCTGTCTGACATTGCCGTCCGCCCTCAGCACACAGGTGAGAGGCATCTGTAGGGCCTTGTGGGATCGTTTTATTTGGAACTGCAGTGTGAGTCCTGAGAGCAGCCCGCCCCACACCAAGCTCCCAGGCGGCTGAGCAAGGAGGCCGGCGCCTGGCCAGCCTCAGAGGACTCGGCGGGCACAGTCGCCCCAGAGGTCGACGCATTCACTGAAAACCAAGAAGAGCACTGGGGGACCCCAGATTCACCTTGAGGGGTATCTGCCCCGTCCCGGTCCCCGGCCCTTCACGGGGCGGAGCTCTGGGGTGCAGGATCTGGGGTGATGCTCAGGAAGGCAGCTTACCTGGAAAGCCTTGTGCACACAGGTGGCTAGGAGGAAAAAGGAGTTGTGAGGGTGGGCACCCAGCACACACTGTGGCCACCATGTCTGCCCACGGCCGCGCCCGAGACGGGGCCGGCCCTGCAGGCCTGGGGCTTTGTGCAGGAGCAGATGACTCCATGTAGAGCTCCCCACCCCCGCCCTGCCTGACTCCCTGTGGCCCGGCGGGACCTCGACACCAGCAGAATTCAGCTGGGGTCCCGTGGGCATCGGGTGACACTCATGGTCCGGCTGCCACGTGGCCTGCTGCTGAGACAGGAATCCCAGGTCCTTGCTCCACCTAGCAAAGAGGCGCAGGGCCTCCTGGCTGGCCAGCTCCGTCCGGCCTGTGGGGCAGGAGGGGAGCCCTCACCACGTGTGCCCCGTGCCCCAGCCACCCCTCCTGCAGGGGGCCGAAGGGCAGGGATGGTGCTCTGGGACCCTGGGGGCACGGGGCTCAGCACAGTCAGTGGGAGGATGGCCAGCATGGCCGCCCTTGGCAGGGAGTTCGTGGGGCCGGCCCGTGGTCTCCACCACTTACTGTACAGCTCCATGTTGTGGAACGCCTCATCCTTGAACTCCAGCTGGGTGAACACAATGGCGTAATCCCTGAAGTTGGTGCCCAGCCCCCGGTAGTCCAACACTCCCAGGGCTAGGAAATACGTGCACCCCCCAGGGGGGATCATCAGACCTCACGAGAGGCCCCCCAGGAAGCATTGTCCCCTGGTCCCCAGAGCCAGCACACAGAGGGCCTCAGGCACGGATGGCCGGTGAGTGCCTGTCCCAGCTCATGCCGGGGGGAACACTCCACCGATCATGGCCCTCGGGGGCACCACACCAGACAGAGGCCCGGGGTCACTGCAGGGCATGCCAGGGTAAGCCCTCTGTCCTCCAACCTCTGACAAAATGCGTCCTTTCACTTTCTAGTGGAAGTCTCGGGGATGGGCCTGCTCCCCAGCCCACAGCACTGGCCAGGTGGCAGGGGACGCCAGCCCAGGCTGCCGGTGGCGGAACCGACCGGAGATTGGGGAATGGCCCGGAAAGCCAGCCCATCCCCCACCGCCCCGCGCCCCACGCCCCACGTCCCGCCCAAAACCGCGGAGGCCGTCGCCTTACAGGGGTTCTCAAACACACATCCAGAGCTCTGTCTCAGCAGCTCCACCACGTTCACGTCACGCCTCTCCAGCCTGGAAGAGAGACCGTCCGTCCTCGGCTCAGGGTCCGGACTCAGGCCCAGAAGAGACAAGGGTCCTTCTAGTGGCATCTGTCCAGCCACCAGCAAGCCGCGCAGGGGATCCTGGCTGCCGCTGACGGCCCCCGTTGCCCGGAAGCCTCCTTCTGCACCGAATCCAACCTGGCCTGGGAATGAGCAGACACGAGAGCCCTGCAAAGTGCAAATCGACTTCCTTCCACCTCCCAAGAGGCCTCACGTGCTGGAAGCCACGTGACGGGCACAAAAGGAGCCTCGGACAAACACAGGGTCGTCTGCAATTGTGGGTAAAGACACTCAGCATCCAACGGGGCTGACGTCCCCGAAGCTGTCAGTCCGTAAAGTGAACAAACCACAGAAATGTAGCGGTCTTTGCTCACTAAGATGAGCTCATGGCTAGGAAATTCCGGAAGGAAGAACAACAGGCAACAGCCATCCAGTAAACTGAGGCAGTGGGGCACAAAGCTGCAACAGGTGAAATAACGTGGTTTGGAAAATCAGAAGACTGACCAAAGGGATGAATGGGAAGTCCAGAAACAGGGGCGCCTGGGTGGCTCCGTCCATCAAGCGTCCAACTCTCGGTTTCGGCTCAGGTTGTGATCTCGTGGTCGTGAGACTGAGTCGGGCTCCGCGCTCAGCGCAGACTCTGCTTGAGATTCTCGACCCCTCCCTCCGCCCCTCCCGCTCGTGCTCTCTCACTCTCTCGAGAATAAATAAATAAATCCTAAAAAGAAAAGTCAAAATATAAAGCAAAATGGGAGCATGGGAATTTAGCGCATGACAAAGTCAGCCAGAGTCCATGGAGACAGAGAGGCAATTCGATAAATGACGTTAGAAATTGGGTAATAATCTAGAAAAAACCAAGTTGATCCTCCTTTTTTCCCAGGGTCAAATCCCAAATGCAGCAAAGATGCCAGAAGCACCAGGGAACTGGAAGCCATTTCGTAACTGTGTCACAAAAGCCAGGAGCCCCGCAGAGAGAAAGCTGGTGTGCCTCTACACATAAATGGAAAGAAATCCTTCATGTATGTAAAAATAAAAAAAGTCCTCCTCAATGTTATAAGAAAAATGACAAACTGGGAAATACATTTGCAACTGGATTCTGTCACAGACAAGCGCCTCATATTCCTATCCTTAAGGATTCTTACAGACCAGGAAAAACACACCTCAGAGAAAAACATGCCAAAGATGTTACCAGGCAGTGCGTTGGGCAGGGAGCACGTACGCCGCGATGCTCCCGTCCTTAGAAGGGGCTCGTAGAAGCTGAAGGGGGCCGTCTGTTGCCTATCAGATGTTGGAGAAGTGGGAGCACAGGAATGCCGGGGCGCTGGTTCAGGGGACCGGCCACGTGGGGACCCCTGGGAAGTGAGAGCACCAGGGCCCACGCCCCACAGGGTATTTCTAGGTGCCGAAGATTGGAGAGTACTGTCTGTCGAGCAGCAGAGCCCGGCAGGAGGCCTGTGGAGTGTCACGCAGCGATCAAAAAGAGCAGAGCGCCCCGGTAAATGTGAAAGGGAATCCCTGTACGGCCCAAAGATCCCCTGCAGGGCGCACACCCAGGAGAACGGAAGGGAGACTTGCACACCCATGTTCATGACAGCGCCATTGACAAAACCAGACGGTGGAAGCAACCATGGGGCCTGTCCACACCATGGAACATAATTGAGCCTTAAAAAGGAAGGAAATCCCGACACCTGCTACAACGCGGATGAACGTGGAGGACACGGTGCCGAGTGAGATCAGCCCGGCGCCCGGCGCAGAGGGACCGATCCCAAGGGATCCACTCTCCGTAGGCCCCAGAGGAGTCGGACCCACAGAAATAGGGGCGGGGGCGGGGAGGGGTCCGTGTTCAACGGGGACGGACGGAGGGGGACGGCTGCCCAACAGTGTGAATGTGCTTGACGCCCCTGAGCTGTGCGCTTAAAAGGAGCGAGGACAGTAAACCTCTGCGCTGTGTTTATCTTCCTACAACTTTGAAAAATGTCATAAAGACAAAAGAGAACAAACTTGGAAATGTTTTAAAAGAGAGCAGAGCCTCTGTGGACTGATCGGAACAACCCCCAGCGTGCGTCGGCAAATGACACACGGGTGCCGGTGTGTGCCCGCCCACACGTCCCTAACACGGGCTACCCGCAGGGAGGAGACGGGCTGGCTGAGGCAGGTGGGGAAGGACCCCCACGGTACACCCTTCGGAACCCTGATTTTTGAGCCATGCAAGTATCTTTCCTGTCCAAAGGCCAACAATGAAATTTCATTACACAACAAAACGTGAGAGGCCCACTTGCCTCTCCTCCAAGCCCTGATCTGAATGTGTGTCTGCAGGCGGGGCCTCAGCACAATCCACCTTTCCAAATCAGCGTCTGGCCCAGGTCCCTGGACAGAGATGCACCTTGACACTGGCACCAGAAGAGGCTGCTGACCAATCAGTCCGATGAGCAGGTGCCAGAAATGGGGTCTGAGCCCTGTGCCATCCCCATGGCTCCCATTGCATCCGTGGCTTTGCATAGGGCCCAAGGCCCTCCAGAGGCCCAGCTTCTGTATTTAGAAGTCTGATTCCACCAGCTTCACTGCGACAACCCAGCCCCATGGCCCTGGGGCCAACACCAAGGCCCGTGGGACCAAGCTCACCCATACCGTGGAGCTACCATCCTACCCCAGACCTCCCCTGCCCTTGCTTGTCCCAAGGCCAGGCCTGGCTCAGGTACACCCGGGCCCCACATCTCCTGCAAGCAGATGCAGGAATGGGAGCGAGGGTACCTGGATTCCCCCAAGAACCCGTGGTTCTTCAGCACAAGGCATGACCCAGTTCAAGCAGTAGGTCGAGAGGGGTTTGCCCAGGAGGCCTCTCCCACCCCAGCATGAGTCCCACCCAGACACAGGTCACACACCTCACTCACCTGTGCCTGGAGGACAACAATTTCAGGTTGTTTTCTGGAGTAAGGGTCACCATGACGCCATCAATGTTCTTCGAGGCCTTATCCAACGCAAAGCCCTTCTCACCTGAGGCCACGGCAAGAGCATACCAGGACCCCAGAAGCTGGTGCAGCAGGAGCAGGTGAGGGGGGGTCAGTCCCTCCAGCCCTTGGAGGTGTCCTCTCTCTATCTGATCCCAGAGCTGGCGCGAGAGCTGAAGCTACAGCTGCCCTACCCTCGGGAGCTGCAGCTCGCATTGGTTTTGGACCTGGCTCGAGCTCCGGGGCAGGTGCTAGAGCTGAATCCCCCTCCAGAGATGATCTAGACCCGGTTCCGCACTTGAATAAGGCTCTTGAACCCACGAATGGCTTTCCTTCCCTGGCATTTCATAGATGAAAAAGCTCAGGACGGTGATGGGACCGGCTAAATTGGGGTAATGGCTACGGGGGAATTCAGACCAAGGATCCTGCATGCCCTTCACCAAGCTCCCCACGTGAGTGGGTCCTGAGCTGCCAGATAGGGGCAAGGGCCGGACCCACTGCTCCCGGCAACTGATCCCGCTGAGCAGAGACACTCGCCGGGGACCTGAAGTCCAGGTTTGACCTCTGCTCCAGCCCGCCCCACACGAGCAGGGACCGTGCTTCCTCACCGCTGGGTCTCCAACACCCAAAACCGTGCCTGGGAGGTGGTAGCCCTTCACATTGTAGTGAATCATTGGGATCCCCCAGCAGCCCCATGATGCAGGGGATGTTGCTTACAGATGAGAGATCTGGGCCCCAGACTTGTGTTCACTCTTTCATCCACTCGTGCATCATCCCCACCTGTGTCTGTACGCTGGAATGCAGAGGGGACCCCCAGACACCCTCCCTGCCCTCGGAGCTCCCAGCCTAACCGGTGGGTCAGCATCCCACCCACAGTCAGCAGGTGGGCGATACAGAGCTAGAGCATCTCTAGCACGAGACCTTGCACGATCCGTGGGGAGGAGACAGCCCTGGCGGCAGCTAAGATCTAGAACCATCTGACGCACTAGAACGTGCCCCCATGCTGACTGGAGCCAGCCGTGGAAGCAGCTCGAGAGCCTGAGCCAGTGCCCCCACAGACTAGAGCCCCTCCAGCTCCGACCCGCTAAGCCCCTCCAGAGGCAAAACCAGCTCCGGCATGAGTTCCAGAGCAAAGCCATCGGCACACCAGTTCTCCCACCCAATCCGGCATCATTTCCAGAGTGAGAGCCAGCCCGAGAACGAGAGCCACTTCTCGAGGCGGCTCAGTGCTGCTGTGGGAAGCTGTGGGGGGTTTCCTCTGAGAAGGCACAGGGCCAGGCTGTGCGTATCAGCACAGGGTGATCACCCTGGCAGGGTGGTGATCTTCTCTCCTCCTCCTGCTTCGGCACCATCTCCAGATGGAGGACTGGCCACTGCAGCAGGGCTGGTCACCACTGCAGAGTCGACACGGCTGCAGAAGCAGCTACAGACCCAAAGCACGCTCCAGAGCTCAAGGTATTTCCATCTTCTGCTGCGGTGCCTTCGCCGGGAGTGTGGGAGCTGGAGCCAAGTGGGCCCCAGTGTGAGTAAGCCCCCTGCCCCTGCAGCCAGCTCCTGCCCCCGCTGCACAGACACAGGAGCGCCTACCACCTGGAGAGCTAGAGCACATGCTCGGACCCGCGGCAGAGCGAGCCTTACCTCCACCCATAAAGCCAGAACCGCAGCACACAGCAGCCCCCGCACCGACTGTGGATGTCGGCCCCACCGATGGCAGCTCCCGAGCTGGCGGCCCCTACACCTGCACGCCTGGAGCAGCTCCAGAGCAGCAGTCTTCTTGCCGCTGGTTTCTGCACCAAATCTGGCAACAATGTCAGCCTGACAGTTCGCTGAGCCTTGGAGTCCGTTCCAGAAGCAGCTCGAGCCCGACCACCGGGGACGGAGCCAGCTCCAGCACAGCTCCAGCTCACGTCCTGGGCTGGTTCCACGGTAGGAGCCGGGGGCATCCTGGCATCGCCCGCAGCTCTGGCCCAGGGCTCGAGCCCCTCCGCCCAGGGCTACCCGTCACCCAGCTTTTTATTTTTTTAAAGAGAAAATTTTTTTTAAACATTTTATTTGGTAGAGAGAGGGAGACAGCACACAACCAGGGGAGCGGCAGAGGAAGAAGGAGAAAGAACCCACCCGCTGAGCAGGG